GCTCCAACGATGAGGTGAGCGCGGAGGTTCGCGAGTGCGGGGGGGTCGTCCGAGAGGAATGACAACGCGGGGTGGTTCCTCTCCGCGCTCAGTTTTCATCTCTCGTTCAGCTTCATCCAATTCTTCTTGCATGAGCTCCCCTTCCTCAGATTCTGCTGTTCCCCATCCTCCCGTGGTGACCGTGCCGCTGGCGCTGGCTCCCCATGCTCCGGTGGCGGACGCCCAGGTTGCGCCGCCCTCTGGCTCGGTATCTTCGTCACCCCATCTTCCGTGTCGTGCTGATTCTTCGTCCCATCCGGCCGCGATGCGCTCCTCGTACAGTTTTTGCTTCTTTTCCGCCCGGGCCTTATTCTGTTCTTCCTTGACGCTCAGCTCCGCTGGTGCGTCAGGGTCTTTCCAAGTCGGGTCGATCTCGCGGCGGTAGACTTCGCGAGTGTACGGGCGCGGTCGTTCTTCTTCGTCGAGAGTGCGGGTGTTGGCTTCGAGGATGAACCGGAGGGTGTCCGAATAGGGCCTTGGTCTCTCCACCCGCTGCTGTCCGAATGTCTTGTTCGGCTCTCCGAAGATGCGGTGAGATGACACAGCGAGTTCTTCACGTGTCATGCCTGTAGGTTCTGCTTTGGCACTCTCCGCCTCCTGAATTGCCGCGTATTCTCTTTCAACTTGTTCTGTGCGGCTTGCCGTGGGTGTGTGGCAGGTGGTGCAGAGGCCGTTGATGTCTGGCTCGTGCAGGTTGATCTCGCGGGGGTGAGGGCTGTGGCGAACCCACGGTCGCCCGTCCGGATGCTCCCATGATTCCTTGTTCATGAAGGCGAACTCGAGAGGGACAAGATCCACGAGCTCGTCGGAAGATGCTTGGCAAGGGGGTACGTCGGAGTCCAGGATGTAGATACCGTTGATTGAACGGGCTCGACCGAGGTATTTGAATGATGCGGGAGGTGTGTCTGGAGGGGCGTACGTGAGTATGAGATCGCGGGTTGCGAGATCCGTGTGAATTATGACACCGCAGTCGCGGAGTTGTCCAGCCGAGAGCAGATTGAAGCGCAGATTCGGGACGTAGAGCACGTCGTTGAATGAGATGTGAGTGTTGCTGTCTCGTGCTTGCAGGACGACGATGCCTTGTGAATTGGCGCGCAGCTGCTCGTTGTTGGCGACGGTGACGTAGGTCGTGTGGATCCCACCATGTGCTGTCCGCAGCAGCTGTCCAGGTACCAGGTGTTGTAGTTGTCGGTGTTGTTCCTGCGCAGAAGTAGCGCCCGTCGCGGAGTCACCAGGGTTGCCTTGTAGCGCCTGTGGAAGAGGGGGTCTTCGTCTTCCTTCCATCCCACAGGTACGTAGCGCTGGTTGTCATGTGGCGGGCTCTCCGCAGTGTGATTGGCTGATTCCAATCCTGCTCGTCTTCGTCATTCGTGTAATAGTGGTCTTCAGTGAGGGGATTGTTCCATCCCTCTTCTGGTTCCAGAAGTCTTCCTTGGACTTCGTTCTCTTCGTCAGGTTCAGCAGTGCCGCGTCGGCGCGCCGCCATGTTCGCGATGATGTTCCTGGGAGCTCCTGGTTGAGATCCTTGAGTTTGCCGGTGTTGATGTTGTGCAGGAGGACGAACTGTCTGATGCTGAGGCTGAGAGCGACGAGCGTCTTGTCGGCCGACCCAGTTGTTGTGGTGAGTGGAATTTGGGTGGCGGAAGTTGGATCGGGATTTGCATCGATCCGTTGAGTGTCCGAAGACTTTGCATATTTTGCAATAATGGCGCCTTGGTTGTCGTCGCTCTTCTCGGTTGTCTGCGTAGAAGGCGAGGCGCTCTCGGCGCGGCGCGGAGCTTGTTCTGCTCGAATCCATGTCCTGCTGTTCGGACAGGAGAGCGGCGCATAGCGCGGCTTCTGAGATGATTCCTCGCTGTCGGAGTAGCGCTTTACAGGGCTTCCACTCTGGCCCGAGTCCTTGAAGGACTATGTTGACGAAAATCTCTTCCGAGATTGTACTCCCATGCTTCGTGATCTGGTCACGGATGTTGCGACAGCGGTTAATATAAGGATTCGCTTTCTCCCCGTGCCCCATCATTATCTCCAGAAGTTGCTGCAGAAGCCTGCTGGCGGTGACCGAATCCTTCGGTTGGTAAACTTCAACGAGGTGCTTCCAAGCTTCCAAGGCTGGAGCGTCGCTCTCTTTGTAGGAGCGAATGTTGAGTTGTTCCGCAGGCGTCATGTTGCGTAGCAGCACACTGTAGGCCATGAGAGACTCGCTGTAGTACTGAGCCCTGACGACTTCGGTGTTTTCCACCGGTTTAGGGTAGGAGCCGTCGAAGTAATGGTAGATCTGCGCTGTTTGTAGGAGGAGCTCAAGCTCGAAACTCCATGTGTAGAAGTCCTTGCCGTCAAACGCGGCGGTAGTTTTGATTTTTGAAACGCTAAGAAAGCGTGCTTGCGCAGAGTTGATAGCTTCATCACTTGGACGGGGGGCAATTGTTGTTGATTTGTCTGTGTCGAGGGAGAAGGTGTGCGCGGCGGTATCACGGCTTTTCTCAGCCAGTTGTCCAGGTTGAACTGGTTGGGAAGAGGTTCCCGCATCGCCTTTGCGCAGTTCTTGGAGTTCTTTCTCCATAGTTGAAAGTCGAGCGAAGAGTTGCTCGAGGGCGGCAGTGCCAATCGTGGTTGTCGCCTCATTTGTCGCGGCCGGATTGGATTGACCTTCAGCCGTCAGATTTGCTTGGCCTCCGGATCCTCCGGCCATCTTGGTCTTGGAGCGTGTGCCGCTCGCCAGATCTTGGTTCGGCGAATTTCACGGAAGTGAAGTTGCGAAGAATCCCTGAGTAGCTCTCATACCATGTTACAATCCCAAGTGGGACTTTAGCGAAGGATCGCTCAGGGTTGATCGCAGAGTAGTGTTGCAGCGGAAGTTTGAATCTCAGGTCAGAGTGAATGTAAATGACTGAGTTAATAATAGCATGCATACATCGGGTTTATATAAGAGTACAGGGGAATACGAAAAGACCTAGGCTAGCCATGTACTCTAAGGGGTACATTCCCTTATTACAGCAAATTCAAACCGTGCGGCGCGGGAACCCGTTTTGAACCTGTTCCCGCTCTTTTCACTTCAAATGTTTCTGCCTGCATCGGTCTTGGTCAGACGGTTGCTGCGTCGCTTCGACTCTTCTGACTCCTCGACTTCGTACTCGGTAGAGTCGGCACCTGCAGCATACAGGAATGCCTTCTCATAAAACTTCATATCGTAACATACGCGTAGAAGTCAAGTCTGATAAGGAATTCGGGAAAAATCCTTAGAGGCTCATAGTTTGGGGGCAACTTTTCAAGTTCCTTTGGAGTTTGGACACCTCTTTCAAATGTATACAGGAGCTTGCGCCCTTTAGTGTGTACGACGTCAGCCATAATAGCTACCCAGCCAGGAAGATTGCTGCCTAGGGGCGCATTCTTGCCTCGTGTCTGACATCAGGTCATTCGCCCTTGGAGGTTCGGAAGACCCGAAGTGGCTCGAAATAGGGGCGAATCAACTTGGGAAGAGGCGAATCAGAGACTAAGGGCGGATGACCTGATGTCAGACACGAGGCAAGAATGCACCCTAGGACGACCTGCAATACGCCAGCCAGGGAGACCTACGCTTAGGACGCCTTGCAACGAGTTTAGGAGCGAAATTATCCCTACAGCGCGCCAGTCAGCGAATTTGCCACGTAGAACGCCCCGCGGCGAGCCAGCCCCGCAGTGACATCGCAGCCTAGGACGACCTGCAGCGCACCAGCCAACGAAATCGCCGCTTTGGACGCCGTGCGGCGCGCTTAGGAGCGAGGTCGTCGCTGAGGGCGCTTGCAGCGCTCTTAGGATCGAATTACACGCTTAGGCCGTTTCCAGTGCGCTTAGGAGTGAAATCGCCTCGTGGGATGCTCTACAACGCGCTTAGGGATGCAATCGAAGCTGAAGACGCCTTGCAACGCGCTAGCCAGTGAGAGCACCATCTCGGACGCCCAGCAGTGGGCTTAGGAGGAACATTGCCACGTAGGACGGGATACTAGGCTGTAGTACAGCAGCGCACAAGGCAGCGATCCAGTCAGCGAGTCCACCGCCTCGGTCACCCTGCAGCACGCCCGCCGTAGCGTCTCGTGACCTTATTGCACAGAGCTCGAGGCGGCCCGCCAGACGAGATTGCCGCAGTGACATCAACGCGTTCAATACGGTCACGAGATGAGGATAAACACGTGGTCGACGGTTTTGAGACAATTTCGCGTTCAGTCGGATCGCGCAATTTCGTCCGAAGCTTTGGAGCAAATGCAGGGCGTGGTCATTGTGTGATAGCACCACCTCATCGCGAGTGCATGTTGCCTAAGTCGCCTACGCCTGGTTTGCTGGACAGTCAGCTCAGACCACGTTTTTATCCTCCGTCCTTATAGCGAGGACAAGTAATGTCGTATTTGCAACTCGTTTCCTCTGGCCTCTCTTTTCTCGCCCGCTTTTCACCTGTATCCAACCAGTCCTTCGCGCCTCGACTTACATCTACATTCAGCCCTGCGCTTAGCTCCGCCAGATTCCTTTCTGCCTGCTCTCTCCGAGATTCTGGCGGCGATCATTCATTTCCTCCTATCGGAAATATCACAGTCGCTAGCAGGAGGGTTAAACGCGGCGCGGTATCAGCGGAAGGCGGAGCGGGCGGAAGCCGCGCACCGAGGCCCGCGCAGCAAGGGGGTGGGGAGAAGCGCGGACCAAGGGGGGCCGGATTGCAGGGAGGGGAAAGTCGGGAGGTGAGGGGGGCGGAAACGTTACCCGAGGGATCGCAGGGCTCGCGGAATGAGCGCGGGCGCGACGGGAGAGACGCGCAGTTGGGGGCGCAAGGGTGGGTGGGCATAGGGGGGTCTAAAGCGGAAGCCCTGCGCGTGCGCGTGGGATGGAGATGGGCGGAAGACGAGGGGAACGCGGAGGCGGAAGCGGAGGCGGAGGGAGCGCTGGGGGAGACGCCATTGCAGAAGAGACGGAGGTTTGGGCAGGCTGTGGAGAAAATGAAGGGGGACGCGGCGCGCAGGCGGAAGCTGGCAGGGAAGGGGCTTCCGCCGCCCCCCCTTGGCGCGCCGGGCAACGGGCTGCTGGTCCCTCGCCTGGTGCCCGTGGCGCACCGCACTCTCGCGCTCTGGCTGTCCCTCCAGGCGAAGATCCCACGCCTGCTTGACGCCGTGCCCGCTCATGCCTGCAGGTAGGCCCGGTGTAGGTACAGGTTCCGCACTGCCTTGCGCTGTACAGGTTCCGCACTGCCCTGTTCCGCACTGCCCTGTTCCGCACTGCCCTGTTCCGCACTGCCCTGTTCCGCACTGCCCTGTTCCGCACTGCCCTGTTCCGCACTGCCCTGTTCAGCGGCACGCCACCATCCCAAGGCTGCTGGAGGCAGTGCCTCGTGCAGGTTGGGCCGTTGCTGCTGCTGCTGCTGCTGCTGCTGCTGCTGCTGCTGCTGCTGCTGCTGCTGCTCCCTCTTACCCAACTCTCTCCCCTTCCTCCCCCCACCACTCCTCTCTGCTGGGTCAGCTACCCCTCGCCTTAACACCCTCACCTTTTTCTTGCCCTTACCACCACCATCACCACCACCATTACCACCTAACTTGCCACCGCCGCCGCCGCCACTGCTGCTGCTGCTGCTGCTGCTACTCGCATCAAGCGCACTCGCTCACCTTAAACCGGTGCTGCTGGCGTTTTTGCTGGCGCTGCTGCTGCTCGCTGCTCTCTCGCCTCCATGTCCAGCCTCTCGACCCCATGTCCTCCAGCCTCTCGACCCCATGTCCAGCCTCTCGACTCCATGTCCAGCCTCTCGACTCCATGTCCAGCCTCTCGACTCCATGTCCAGCCTCTCGACTCCATGTCCAGCCTCTCGACTCCATGTCCAGCCTCTCGACTCCATGTCCAGCCTCTCGACTCCATGTCCAGCCTCTCGACTCCATGTCCAGCCTCTCGACTCCATGTCCAGCCTCTCGACTCCATGTCCAGCCTCTCGACTCCATGTCCAGCCTCTCGCCCCTTCTCCTCCAACCCCACGCCCCTTCTCCTCCAACCCCACGCCCCTTCTCCTCCAACCCCACGCCCCTTCTCCTCCAACCCCACGCCCCTTCTCCTCCAACCCCACGCCCCTTCTCCTCCAACCCCACGCCCCTTCTCCTCCAACCCCACGCCCCTTCTCCTCCAACCCCACGCCCCTTCTCCTCCAACCCCACGCCTTCAGAGGCCCCTCTGCTTCCAAATCCTTCACCGAATCAAGCCCCCTTACCCTCGTGCTTGTCTGTCCCCCTTCCCCATCCCCCAGGTGGTGTCTAGAGATTTTCATTGCCCACCACACCCACGCCGTCCGCAACCTTCAGAATCTGCTCTATCTCAAACCAGACTTACCCCCCCCAGTCAGCTAAGCCCGTTGCCAGCTCTTGCCCCTCCTCCCCCAACCCCACCCGCCAGGCGGTGTCCAGAGGTCTCCAATACGCGCCACCCGCATGCCATGCGCACATGCGCGCTCTCAACAACTCCCTCCACCTCTGAAGGCGTCTACTCGCCTAAGCCCCCTTTGCCCTCTCTCCCATCTCTCTGCCTCCCCCATCCCCCCAGGCGGTGTCCGGAGCTCTCCATTGCCCGCCACCCGCACGTCATCCGCAACTGCAAGGGTCCGAAGCTGCACAGCCGTTCGGGCAGCCCGGGCAGCCATGAATGGGCGCCTGCCACGCCCTCTGACATCCTCCCGGTCATCGAAAGTTTTCATCTGCCCGATCGTCTGCACCCCCGTGTGCCACACGAGGCGAGATTCGATGTGGAGAGGATCCCAGCTGTCATAGAGCTGTGCGTTCAGGTGATTCTTCAGGTTCAGGCCATTCATCAAGTTCAGGTGAGCTTTCAGGTGACTTATAAGTCATCCCACCCCTCTCCGCCCCCCTGCAGGCTGGGCGAGGGTGGGTCTCCCAGCGGCATGGCCCCCTGCTTCGCACGTTCGCACGCCACCATCCCTTCCTTCCCCACTCGCTGCTATCTGTAGAGCACCTTGCTGCTCTCTGTAGAGCACCTTGCATGCATGAACAAGCGAGACACGCACCCAAGCCACAAGTCCGCGTGCTGTGTGCTCAACATGTGGTCGATCACCCGTCCACCACCCATGTTCTGTCTTGCACACCCATGTTCTGCCTTGCACACCCATGTTCTGCCTTGCACACCCATGTTCTGCCTTGCACACCCATGTTCTGTCTTGCACACCCATGTTCTGTCTTGCACACCCATGTTCTGTCTTGCACACCCATGTTCTGTCTTGCACACCCATGTTCTGTCTTGCACACCCATGTTCTGTCTTGCACACCCATGTTCTGTCTTGCACACCCATGTTCTGTCTTGCACACCCATGTTCTGTCTTGCACACCCATGTTCTGTCTTGCACACCCATGTTCTGTCTTGCACACCCATGTTCTGTCTTGCACACCCATGTTCTGTCTTGCACACCCATGTTCTGTCTTGCACACCCATGTTCTGTCTTGCACACCCATGTTCTGTCTTGCACACCCATGTTCTGTCTTGCACACCCATGTTCTGTCTTGCACACCCATGTTCTGTCTTGCACACCATCCATCCCTGATCCATCCCCTGGCCGCCCCACCATCCACCCCCTCTGCTCCACTTCTCCCTTCCCCTTCCCTCCCCCTCAGGCGGGTGTAGACATGCCCGGCCTGCGCACCGTGCGCCGAACCGAACCTGTGCAGACCACCAGGCCTGGCACCGGCCGGGCCTGGGTGGCAGGCTTGGAGGGCGAATCGGAGTCAGGAGTGTTTAACAGGGGAGCATATAAGGGGGACGAGGGGGATGTGGTGAAGGCGATTCTAGAGATGGCTGAGATGGAAGCCGTGGGGGCGGAGGTGGCGTGGGATGAGGGGTCCAGGGGTACGATGAGGCGTGGGGAGGGGGGGTGGAGGGGGTTGATGGAGGAGGGTGGTGGGGGCAGGAAGGAGAGAAGGTTGGAGCGGAGGAGCAATACAGAGGCGGATAGGAGGGAGAAAGGGAAGGGGGAGGAGGAGGAGGAAGAGGGGGGAGAGGATGGGGAAGGAGCAGCGGAAGGGGAGGGGAGTGTGAGGGCGGTGGCGGAGGAGGCGTTGAGGGAGTGGGAGGAGGTGAGGGAAGGCGTGGAGAGGGTGATGGGCAAGTACCCCGTGATGGTGTGCGGATACTGCCCTGAGGTGCACGTCGGTGCTGCCGGCCACAAGGTGAGCGCATGGGGGAAGCGATGGTGAGCATGGGAGAGGTGAGCGATGGTGTGGTGTGGAGAGGCTGACGGGCAAGTACCGTGCGATGGTGTCACTTTTGAGAATTCTCAAATGTGTGGATACTGCCCTCACGTGCACGTGAGTGCTGCCGGGCACAAGGTGAGAGTATGGGGGAGCATGGGGATACATGGAGGCGCATGGTGGTGCATGGGGGGCGTTGGGGGCCAATGGGGGGCATGGGGGGCCATGGGGGAGCATGGGCGGGCATGAGGCTGGGTGCTGGGTCTTGACCTCTCTCACCACCCTACTTGACCTCTCTCACCACCCTACTTGACCGCTCACCACCCTACTTGACCTCTCACCACCCTACTTGACCTCTCTCACCACCCTACTTGACCTCTCTCACCACCCTACTTGACCTCTCACCACCCTACTTGACCTCTCACCACCCTACTTGACCTCTCACTACCCTACTTGACCTCTCTCACCACCCTACTTGACCTCTCACCACCCTACTTGACCTCTCACCACCCTACTTGTCCTCTCTCACCACCCTTCTTCACCTCTCTCACCACCCTACTTGACCTCTCACCACCCTACTTGACCTCTCTGACCACCCTACTTGCACGCTACTCTCATGCTCACCGCTAGCTGCCCTGTGCTCTCTTGTAGTTTCAGGTGCTCTGGGCGTGTGGTATTATTCAACTTCAGGGACTCTTTTCCGTGTTGAGGTGCTCTGTTGCATCTTCAAGTGCTGTTCTGCAAGATTCAGTGCACCTCAGCAGGCACTGCCACCACCACCAGCAAGGCCAGCAGGCAGCTCTGCTCCCCTTCTCCTCAAACCCCGTCTTTAACTCACGAATTGCCAGAATTTCGCAACTTACCACACGTCCCGCTTCTCTCTGTCCTCCCTGCTCCCAGGTGCGTCTGTGCAACGCGTCCAAGCAGCAGTGGCGCCACGGGCAGCACAGGTGGCAGTCGGCAGTGCTGGCAGACCTGCTCCCCCCTGTGCCCGTCTACCACACGCGCCACCCCTGCGGCCCCCCTCTGCTGCACGAGCTGAGGGCCTTCTACGGCCGAGTGCCCGCGCTCGTGGAGCTCTGTGTGCAGGCCGGGGCGCCTGTTCCAGATAAATGGCGGCGATACTTGAGGCTCGATGCTGCAATTCCTGATGTCGATGATGTGGATCACGTGGTGTAACAAGGCACCTTGCTACCCTCCCTCACCTTCGGTCGCTGCTCACGTCTGCTGATCACCCTCCCTCTGCTGCTCCGGTCTTCCTCCTGCTCTGGCGTCCATCTCCCCACTCTTGTGCCTCACAGCGTCCATCTTCTGGCTGCTCCTCCTCTAGCACATAGACGCTGGCTGTGAAGGCGGTTAGTCAGGAGGATCGAACTAGACTATCATGTCATAGTCTGACTTTCATGTCATAGTCTGACTTTCATGTCATAGTCTGACTTTCATGTCATAGTCTGACTTTCATGTCATAGTCTGACCTTCATGTCATAGTCTGACTTTCATGTCATAGTCTGACTTTCATGTCATAGTCTGACTTTCATGTCATAGTCTGACTTTCATGTCATAGTCTGACTTTCATGTCATAGTCTGACCTTCATGTCATAGTCTGACTTTCATGTCATAGTCTGACTTTCATGTCATAGTCTGACTTTCATGTCATAGTCTGACCTTCATGTCATAGTCTGACTTTCATGTCATAGTCTGACTTTCATGTCATAGTCTGACTTTCATGTCATAGTCTGACTTTCATGTCATAGTCTGACTTTCATGTCATAGTCTGACTTTCATGTCATAGTCTGACTTTCATGTCATAGTCTGACTTTCATGTCATAGTCTGACTTTCATGTCATAGTCTGACTTTCATGTCATAGTCTGACTTTCATGTCATAGTCTGACTTTCATGTCATAGTCTGACCTTCATGTCATAGTCTGACTTTCATGTCATAGTCTGACTTTCATGTCATAGTCTGACTTTCATGTCATAGTCTGACTTTCATGTCATAGTCTGACTTTCATGTCATAGTCTGACTTTCATGTCATAGTCTGACCTTCATGTCATAGTCTGACTTTCATGTCATAGTCTGACTTTCATGTCATAGTCTGACTTTCATGTCATAGTCTGACTTTCATGTCATAGTCTGACTATCATGTCATAGTCTGACTTTCATGTCATAGTCTGACTTTCATGTCATAGTCTGACTTTCATGTCATAGTCTGACTTTCATGTCATAGTCTGACTTTCATGTCATAGTCTGACTTTCATGTCATAGTCTGACTTTCATGTCATAGTCTGACTTTCATGTCATAGTCTGACTTTCATGTCATAGTCTGACTTTCATGTCATAGTCTGACTTTCATGTCATAGTCTGACTTTCATGTCATAGTCTGACTTTCATGTCATAGTCTGACTTTCATGTCATAGTCTGACTTTCATGTCATAGTCTGACTTTCATGTCATAGTCTGACTTTCATGTCATAGTCTGACTTTCATGTCATAGTCTGACCTTCATGTCATAGTCTGACTTTCATGTCATAGTCTGACTTTCATGTCATAGTCTGACTTTCATGTCATAGTCTGACTTTCATGTCATAGTCTGACTTTCATGTCATAGTCTGACTTTCATGTCATAGTCTGACTTTCATGTCATAGTCTGACTTTCATGTCATAGTCTGACTTTCATGTCATAGTCTGACTTTCATGTCATAGTCTGACTTTCATGTCATAGTCTGACTTTCATGTCATAGTCTGACTTTCATGTCATAGTCTGACTTTCATGTCATAGTCTGACTTTCATGTCATAGTCTGACTTTCATGTCATAGTCTGACTTTCATGTCATAGTCTGACTTTCATGTCATAGTCTGACTTTCATGTCATAGTCTGACTATCATGTCATAGTCTGACTTTCATGTCATAGTCTGACTTTCATGTCATAGTCTGACTTTCATGTCATAGTCTGACTTTCATGTCATAGTCTGACCTTCATGTCATAGTCTGACTTTCATGTCATAGTCTGACTTTCATGTCATAGTCTGACTTTCATGTTATAGTCTGACTTTCATGTCATAGTCTGACTTTCATGTCATAGTCTGACTATCATGTCATAGTCTGACTTTCATGTCATAGTCTGACTTTCATGTCATAGTCTGACTTTCATGTCATAGTCTGACTTTCATGTCATAGTCTGATTTTCATGTCATAGTCTGGGTCGTGAAATTCTTCCGGCACCTCCTTCTGTCCTCCTCTTCCTCCTCTCCCTTCTCTTCCGTGCTCTCCGTGGGATCAGCACACCTTCCTGGTATGCCAAACCGATCGTCCCTCCAGCTTGTCCGTCGTGCTTCCAGCGCTATCCTCTGCCACCACTGCAGCTCTTCCTCTTCCTCCGTCCCTCCTAGAATTGTTGTGGCTTCAATTCAAGCTCCTTCCCTTTAGCGTAGCTGACCTGAGGCCTTTTCTACCCAGCTTTATCTCTCAAACACTCCAGCCACTTCCGCTCCCAGTGATTTCTCATCGTGCCGATGAGCCAGTGTAGCCCATTGACGTCCATGGTCCGCCCTATTGCCCGCCTCCTTTCCTGCTCCGTCATCTGCAGACAGGCCTGTTGGGCTGAGACCCGGAGGTCTTTTTTTGCGCGGGGTCTTATATCAGAGAGATTACAGTCTTTTCCTGCCTTATAAATGGTCTAAGGGTTTATAGGTTTCCTACACGGTCTTTTGAACAGTTTTTATGCATTCACAGGGCACATTCGTCATACAATGATGCCTGCCAATTCTACCTAGTACCCCTCGGTCACGCCCTCTTCTTCTTTGCACTAGCAGGTGAGGGCTCTTATGACGCGTCACCTCAACGCCGATCGCAGGATCGATCCTACGTAGGATCGGATTTTTGCGTGGTTTAGTTTGCATCTAGAAGTGTTTACTAGGATGCGCGTAGTTTCAATGCGGTGGAAGATCCATATTTGACGTTCGATCGCAGGATCGGCGTTCAGGTGACGCGTCCTTACACTCCCAAGTCTGTCTCAAAGTTAGAATGCAACGGAATGGTGAGATTCGGAATGTGGGAGATACAAATAGCAAACCCTAACTGAGTTGTACACACTAGGGAGCACCTCACTACAGCCTATCACAAATATCAACATTTGACACACCCCCATAGGCTAAGTGAGGGGCATAGCCTATCACAAATATCAACATTTGACACACCCCCATAGGCTAAGTGAGGGGCATCAAAGCAAGCAGGGTGAACAAACGGTCACAAGATCAGTCAATGCAAGAAGCAAAGCAAGCTCAGGGTGGATCTCAAGGACACCACACAAATTCCGAGCACAAGCAAGCGGCCACAAGGCCAGTTCAAGAGTTCACTAGGATATATAATAGTAAAGCACAACAAGCAGAGTAAGCAACAAAGCTACAGCAACCGAGGACATGCCTCAACAAGCCCTAACTGCACATAGAACCGGTGGTGATCACCAGGCGCCAACGCCTTGGTGAAGAGGTCTGCAGTGTTGGCCTCTGAGGCCACAAAGTCCAGGCGCACCTGGCCGCGCCGCTGTAGCTCACGCAGGATGACGATGTGCTTCACCCTGGTCTCCAGTCGAGGCTCGCGACACAAGAGAATCATGGCCTTGTTGTCAGCGAACAAGGTTGGAGCAGTGCGAGGTCGCTCACCAAGGTCAGCGAGCAGGAAGGTCAACCAGCGAAGCTCCTGAGCAGCCATAGCACCGGCGTAGCCACCGACGACGACTGTGTGGACCTCCACGACACAGCCCCAGCTCCCAGACTGAAACAGTAACCCTGGGTCGAGCGCTGAGTCTCCACGTCGTCAGCGTAAGAAGAGTCACAGAGGCCAGTCAGCTCAACTGGCCGAGTCCCTCCAAGCACAAGCCCCATGCCTGATGTAGTCGCAAGGTACTTCGCCACCCTCACGGCAGCCGTCCAGTGAACAGCGAGAGAGGACACTAAGAGGGTAGGCGAGGTCCGGGCGAGTACAGGTCATCAGGTACATGAGGCAGCCAACAAGCTATGGGTAGGGACCACTGGGCTCAAAGGGCTCGTCGAGGAAGGGGCCGGTGAGTCTGTGGTTTACCGCAAGAGGAGTGGGCTGTGTGGTGGAGTGCTGAAGCCCGAACCGCTGAAGGATCTGCTGCACCATGTGTGACTCAGTCAACGTGATGGTGCGAGCGGCTCTGTCCCTGGTGATCTGCAGGCCAAGGTAGCGCTGCAGTTCACCAAGGTCAGTGCACGTGTGTCTCTTCTGCAGTTCGGACTTCACCTCAGCCAGAGCTGCCCTGTCTGGTGTAGCAAAGACCAAGTCGTCGACGTAGACGAGTGTAAAGAAAGGAGTGGAGCCGGCACAAACAAACAGTGACGGGTCAGCAGAGGAAGGGCCAAACCCTAGGTCACGAAGCGTGGAGCGAAGAGTGTCGTGCCACTCACGGGGCGACTGGTGGAGACCGTAGAGTGGTCGCCTTAGGCTCCACTGGGTCCCAGGAGGGAAAGTACCAGTGAAACCAGGAGGACGGCGCAGCCAGATCTCCTCGTGCAGTCGTCCCTGGAGAAAGGCAGTGGAGAAGTCGATGGAGTGGAGCTCGTAGTCACGCTGTGATGCTACGTGTAGTAACACCCGAAGTGTAGTCATCTTCGGGGTCGGAGCGAAGGTCTGAAAGAAGTCAACTCCTTCGCGCTGACTGAAGCCTCTCGCCACATAGCGCGCCTTGAACACCAGGGGTGATCCAGGCGGCTGCTTCACCTTGAAGAGCCACATGCTATCGACTACGTTTGCCCGGGGAGGGGAAACTGCGTCGACGTACGTGCCTGTGGATCTCCAAGACGCCAACTCTGAGTCCATGGCCGTCTTCCACTTAGAGGCCCACGGCCCTGACACCGCCTCACGGTACGTGCGAGGAGTTGGTATGTCAAGGGCGTCGGGGTCTCCCTCAGGGGAAAGCAGCATGGCACAGAGAGTGGGAGAAGCGGCTGCCAGGTACTCCAGCTCAGAGTGCCTGTCCTCTAGGACGTCATAGCCATGGGCAAACTCACCCCCGACGGACAGAGGACGGGTAGGCGGAGCGGGCACCACACGAGTGCTGTAGTCAAGGCGGCTGGCGGCGGCGAAGTCAGCGACAGCGGCAGTGAGAGCCGAGACAGACGACGGAGAGAAACGAGGGTCCGTGACACTAGTGGC